ATATAGTTTTTCGTTTTACCTCAAAAAACCACAACAGTCTGTTTCATCTGTATAGGAATCATCAGGTGGTGAATAATTTCGAAATTGTAGGTTGCTTTTATGCTGTCGAAAGAATGTGCGGAATGCGTGTAGGCGAAACAATGCTTAGGTGAAACAATGCATGCTTGGGTCATTAGGTTTTGTTAACGACCTTGTTTACTCGAAACCGGTTTTTGTGACGACATTTGCCGAAAATTTCGCTCTTTTTATTGAGTAAATTGTCTTTGTTTATGTCTTTCAAAATGCAATATTTTTCTTCCAAACATAAATTGCAGCGTTTTGATCCCCCTGTGTACGAAATAGCGTGTTTTAAAATTGACCATTTGATGGTATAATCCTGATTGTTTTCTTTTAATTTCCAAATATGTTTCGAAAGTTCCGTTTTGTTTGAGTCTTTTTATGACGAAAAGATGAAGTGTGGTTAGCGTAACGTTCCTTAAATGTAGTCGCTGTCATACCAATGTAGTGTTTAGTGTCGTTCGTGTTGTTCGTTGTGACTGTTGCTTTGTAAATAATGTTGTTGGTCATGCATTGTTTCGGTAGTGGGCAAGTGTTTTTGTTGTCGCAGTTACAGTTGTCAGTTTCCGTATTCTGCGATTGACTGTTCCTAATTATATGTGCGTTGTGTTTGGTGATTATAGACTTAACGTTGTTCATGCAACTGTAGCTTACTTTTAAAGTGTTTCTGTTAAAAATCTTGTGTAGTTTGTGCTGTAGCGGGAAGTGTTTGTCAATTAAACTTAAGAATTCCCGTCCTATGTTCGTGTTAACACTCTTGCTAAATGGTGGGTTGAACCAAATTATGTTGCGTTGCCTATTCCTACGTGTCCGTTGCGGTGCATTCTCAGTGTACGTAAATTCATGATCAAAGCTACTATGTGTAAGAGCGTTCTGGTAAATAGGTGTGGATTCCTTAAATGTTTGTTCGTCCGATGAGAGAAGTGCAATGCGTTTGTTGATAGCTGTAGGTAATTGTCTTGTAATGCTTGGTGGATGGTTTGAGTGTCTGTGGATGTACAATGGATCGTCATTGGGTTTCCTGTATGGTTTGTGTTTTGCGTTGATCAGGTCGAAAGTAACATCTAGAAAATTTACAACGTTCATATTTACTTCGGCGGTGATTTTAAGGTCAAATTGCTCGAAAATTTTGTGTAGCTCTTTTCTAGTTTTGTCTAGTAAACGGGCGGATTTGCTTTTTATAATAGCCAAACCATCATCTCTATAAAGTCCGATGTTTTCCTTGCCAAACCTCTTACCTAAGTGATTTAAAATGAAAAGGCCTACCAGCTCACAAATTTTAGCGCCGTCGAAACTACCCATAGTGACGTCAAATAAACTGTTGCTTCCGTCTTTTTTTGTCCATAATAAATTAGATAAAATTAATTCCAATTTGAGACAAAAACTAAATTCAAATCAATGGAGAAATACGCAACAAGTAATTTCATGGTTTGGCAATATAAACGATAAAGACAGGCACAGTTTTATTTCATTTGATATTGTGGATTTTTACCCATCTATTTCCGAAAAACTTTTAAATGAAGCATTAGCCTGGGCTTCGGATTTGACTACTATTACCGAAAACGATATTTCAATAATAAAACATGCAAGAAAATCTCTACTTTTCGGCAACGGCAAATTATGGACAAAAAAAGACGGAAGCAACAGTTTATTTGACGTCACTATGGGTAGTTTCGACGGCGCTGAAATTTGTGAGCTGGTAGGCCTTTTCATTTTAAATCACTTAGGTAAGAGGTTTGGCAAGGAAAACATCGGACTTTATAGAGATGATGGTTTGGCTATTATAAAAAGCAAATCCGCCCGTTTACTAGACAAAACTAGAAAAGAGCTACACAAAATTTTCGAGCAATTTGACCTTAAAATCACCGCCGAAGTAAATATGAACGTTGTAAATTTTTTAGATGTTACTTTCGACCTGATCAACGCAAAACACAAACCATACAGGAAACCCAATGACGATCCATTGTACATCCACAGACACTCAAACCATCCACCAAGCATTACAAGACAATTACCTACAGCTATCAACAAACGCATTGCACTTCTCTCATCGGACGAACAAACATTTAAGGAATCCACACCTATTTACCAGAACGCTCTTGCACATAGTAACTTTGATCATGAATTTACGTACACTGAGAATGCACCGCAACGGACACGTAGGAATAGGCAACGCAACATAATTTGGTTCAACCCACCATTTAGTAAGAGTGTTAACACGAACATAGGACGGGAATTCTTAAGTTTAATTGACAAACACTTCCCGCTACAGCACAAACTACACAAGATTTTTAACAGAAACACTTTAAAAGTAAGCTACAGTTGCATGAACAACGTTAAGTCTATAATCACCAAACACAACGCACATATAATTAGGAACAGTCAATCACAGAATACGGAAACTGACAACTGTAACTGCGACAACAAAAACACTTGCCCACTACCGAAACAATGCATGACCAACAACATTATTTACAAAGCAACAGTCACAACGAACAACACGAACGACACAAAACACTACATTGGTATGACAGCGACTACATTTAAGGAACGTTACGCTAACCACACTTCATCTTTTCGTCATAAAAAAGACTCAAACAAAACGGAACTTTCGAAACATATTTGGAAATTAAAAGAAAACAATCAGGATTATACCATCAAATGGTCAATTTTAAAACACGCTATTTCGTACACAGGGGGATCAAAACGCTGCAATTTATGTTTGGAAGAAAAATTTTGCATTTTGAAAGACATAAACAAAGACAATTTACTCAATAAAAGAAGCGAAATTTTCGGCAAATGTCGTCACAAAAACCGGTTTCGAGTAAACAAGGTCGTTAACAAAACCTAATGACCCAAGCATGCATTGTTTCACCTAAGCATTGTTTCACCTACACGCATTCCGCACATTCTTTCGATAGCATAAAAGCAACCAACAATTTCGAAATTATTCACTACCTGATGATTCCTATACGGATGAAACAGACTGTTGTGGTTTTTTGAGGTAAAACGAAAAACTATATATCTATATCTATAATATATATCTATATCTATATATATCTATATCTATATATATATATCTATATCTATCTATATATATATATATATATATATATATATATATATATATATATATATATATATATATATATATATATATATATATATATATATATATATATAACTAAGAACGGCCGTAGGGGCCGCTTCATTATATATGCAAGTAATTACTATGCAAGGGGGCCGCATCATTATATATGAGGGTAATTAAGGGGACCGCACATTATATATGCAGGTAATTAAGGGGGCCGCACATTATATGTGGCGGTAATTAAAGGGGCCGCACATTATATGCAGTTCGCTTAACATATGCATTAACATCACGCTGGCAAGCTTAGGCAAGTAATTACGTCACGCGGACATGTTCGGACGAAATCGGACAAAACTTGCTGACTAGACATTTTTTGGCGTCCCTCCACGTGTGTGATACAATACAGGGATTAAAATTTTGCCCATGATGGACAAATTTCGATAATGCCCTCCTTTCGCAAAAAGATCAGAAATACGTTTAACTTTGATAGATTATGGCATAAGATCATCCAATACGATCAAATCCCGTTGCGAAACGTCCAAGAAATCTGCGTTGTCGATATCGATGGGAATACCTTGATTAAACTCGATTCCGGACATTTTTCTCGTCAAAACATGAGGGTTGCCCTTGACCATAACACCAAATGACGCGTTGAGGATGTGGGCTTATGGTTTGCTGTGCTTTCTCCAAGAGAGATTTCACCCACATAGTCTTGCCGCTTTGTGCACACCCGGCTACGATACACGGAAAAGGATGCTGCATAACTGCAGATCCTGCTGAGATTTCAACTGCTTTGCTTTCTACATCTCCATGGGTATTCAAAGTATGAAAACAACGTAAACAATGTTGTCAAAAAAGCAGGAAAAAGACTTTACATGCTGAGAGTGCTGAAACGGTCAAACGCGGATACGAACACGTTAATGACTGTTTACACCACTATTATTAGGCCTGTCCTTAAATACGCCTGCCAAGTCTGGCATTTCAACATCCAAGAGTATTTGAGCGAAAACATTGAAAAGATTCAACGGCGTGCTTTGCGAATCTCGTTGCCATTAATGAGTTACAGAGAAGCCCGGAATTTTACTGGTATTCCTTTACTAAAAGAAAGGAGAGAAACATTATGTGAACAATTTTTTAAAAAGAATGACAATAACGATTAACTAAGCGAACAATTGCATCATAAAGCAACAGCAGACTACGATATGCGACCAAGATGCAAGTATAACAATTATCTATGTAGAACTGAACGTTTTTGGAAATCGTCTTTTGCTCAAATTATTTCCAAAGAAAACAGTAAATAACTGAGTAGAAGTATAGGCCTATTGTTTTTTGCTACTTTTGAACGCTTAATATTCTTAATTATGTAATATAACGATAACTTAATACTTTTTAACAGTAGATACAAATTTTGTAAATTTCTGATGTAATTTAACCTATTGGTTACAAAATCAGTTTAAAATAAATTATTAATTATGAAATTATTAATGGCGCTTGAGGTGGCCGCGTGATGAAAATACTTTGGCACATATATTACACGAAAAGGACATGTTCACACCACGAACGTCCAGCTGTAAGTGATAATAAGTTAGTCTATTCGTTCTATATATTAACTTATCCATCTATCAAGTATTCTTCCTTATCTTTATCCTTATCTTTCTATTTAATTTAATTTAATTTAATTTAATTTAATGAATTTGTCACAATTACAACAAAGGACAATTACATATTTAGAGAAACAATGACAGGAGAAGGTAACAGGAGAATTTCCCAATTGACAACCGACCCCAGCAAGAACAATACAATAAAAAAAGCAAATATCCAGTTTTTAGAAGTCGGACTGTATCTGAATCCAACTACGGCGGTGTGTACGTTTGCAGCCTGTCCGAAAAATATCCATGCAGTTTTAATTTAAAAATAGAAACGGACTGGCATTTTTTTAAATCGTGTGGTAGATTGTTCCATAGTTCAATAACTCTTGGAAAAAAAGAGTTTCTGTAATAGTTTTGCTTATGGTCAGTTATTATTTTAAGATTGCTCGGATCAAGGTTTCGAGTTGAGTAGCGGCTTGAAACTGGAGAAAAATATTTGTCACAGTTAAGATGTATAGTACTGCAACGACATTTAAATAACAGTATTAGGTCATTTAGTTCTCTGCGATTTCTCAGTCTGTCCGGGTACGAAACTTCGCGTGGTGGATAATTTAAGATGAACTTAGTCGCTCGCCTCTGGACATTTTCAACCAAAGCTCGATGTTTGACTGTCGATGGTGACCATGCGCTGGAACAGTATTCGAGATGTGGGAGAACCAGAGAGCAAAAGAAAAGTTTGCGGGGTACTTATATCTGTAATATCCCTACAAACTTGTTTCACCAATCCAAGTTTCCGGTTTGCTTTAGAAACCATTTCCTCGATATGTCTTCCCCACTGCAAGTCACAGGATATGACGATGCCCAGATCTTTAATAAAAGGGACGCATTCTAGGTATTCAGAACCGAATCGATATGACCAGCAGTCACTAGGGATTCGTTTTTTTGAAATATGAAGAGCTTTACATTTCATGACATTGAAGGACATGCTAGAATTCAAACTTCATCGGTGAAGGCCATCGAGATCTTGTTGGAGAAGAGATTACGAAGATGGGGAGTCTAATGTTCTATACAATTTCGAATCATCCGCAAATAGTGCCAAGTTTGAATCCGAATGGATATAGTTGGGTAAGTCATTGATAAAAACATAGAATAAGAACGGCCCGAGAATTGATCCTTGTGGAACCCCCGAACTTGCTGGAAGCCAATCGGAATAGATCCAATCAAGAACAACACGTTGGTGTCTGTCAGTCAGATAACTCTTCAACCACTGTAGCAGGGATCCGGAAATACCATCCGGAACTAACTTTATCCTTATCTTCTTATCTTCCTTATCCTTATGTTTATCTTCTTATCCTTATCATTATCTTCTTATATTCCTTATCTTTATCCTTATCTTCTTATCTTCCTTTATCGTCTTTTCCATATCTTCCTTATTCTTATCCTTATCCTTATCTTTATCTTCTTATCTTCCTTTTCTTTATCTTCTTATCTTCCTTATCTTTATCTTTATCTTTATCTTCTTATCTTCCTTATCCTTATCTTTATCTTCCTTATCGTTATGTTTATCTTCCCAATCCGTATCTTCCTTATCGTTATCCTTATCTTTATCTTCTTATCCTCTTTATCCTTATCTTCTTATCTTCCTTACCTTTATCGTCTTATCATTATCTTCCTTATCTTTATCTTCTTAACTTCCTTATCTTTATCTTTATCTTCTTATCTTTATCTTGATCTAATGATCTATCTAATGATCTTTGTAGGATCAGAAATTGGTGCATTGAAAATTAAATCCCGATAAAACTGAATTTATCGTTTATGGAAGCAGACAAATGGTGTCTATATTGTCAAAATTACAGCTTTCTTTATTGGGAAAAAAACTTTTCCCTGCACAGATGGTGAAAGACTTGGGAGTTACGTTTGACCGTAATTTGAATTTTAGTGAACATATTCTTAAAACTGTGTCATCTTGCATGTCTAACTTAGGTCAAATAAGTCGGGTTAAACATGTCTTCAAGAACGAGCTACTTTATCGTAATTAATTCACTTGTATTCAGCAAGTTGTATTACTGCTCAAATGTCTGGTCCAATACTAGTGATCGGAATATACGAAAACTTCAAGAACATTGCGGCTCGTATCATCAGTGCAAAAAGGAAATACGACCATATAACTCCTGTATTAAAGGAACTAAGATGGATACCGTACCTGTACAATTAAAACTTTATTATCGCGAAGCAATCATGGCTTTTAAATGTATAACAGGAGCGGCGCAATTTATCTAAGTTCGCAATTTGTAAGTAGAGGTAGTATAAGTGGAATGTCAACTAGACAAACTTCTCATTTGAACATCCACTTCTCAAAAGCGCATCAGGCCAGAGGACATTTTATTATCGCGCTGTTAAATTATTGAATGACCTATGCACAGAACTTAAAGGGAGTAAGACAATTCGTGAGTTTAAATACAAACTAAAGAGAATTTTATTGACAGTTTTTTTTATCATAACGCATGCAATAAATAATATTCATGTATAGTAGATTTTAGCTGTAATTCACTTTATATATAAATTGTATTTCATAGTATTTATATTGTAATTATCACTTTGTAATTGTCACTGGAAATCCCCAATGGTGAGTGTTCAAGTAATTATTCTGTTGCGTTCTATCTTGTTATCTTTATCCTTATCTTTATCTTCCTTATCGATCCTATCTTTATCTTCTTATCTTCCTTATCCTTATCTTTATCTTCTTATCTTCCTTATTCTTATCTTTAGCTTCATTATCTTAATCTTTATCTTCTCATCCTTATCTTTATCTTCTTATGTTCCTTATTTTTATTATCCTTAACTTTATCTGACATGCGCATGGAGCCAAGTTCGATAAGCTCAGAGCCGAGCTCCCAATAGCTCGGAGCCTTGTCGAAATTGCTTTCTCTTTTCCAATATAAACCTCCTTATTGTTGTGTTTTACTAATTTGCTTCCAAACCGTCGAACAGAAATGATCAATCTTCTAAGGCACAAGCTTTTTTTTTGAACTGCTGGGCACGTCTGAGCCTGATCAACAACAAGCGCTACTGGAAACAGCAACTGCCAAGCAAGTACACTCACTGCCTGTGTTTCTGTGCAGAAAGAAGATATTTAATGCCGAAGCATGTAATGAAGAAACTCCGACCTTACAAACATGAAATGCTTAGGTCGGCAGATAGAGAAAAATGTGGAAGAAGAATAAAACGGATACACATTCAACATGGTGAAAGTTTCCTTGGACTATTAATAAGTCCTAAGTAGTATAGGAAAGGGGGTTCTGGCGCGGGTGGAGAACTAGAGCTCCACCCATAGCGTCATCAGGATATCATTTCATCTCAAATACATGCGTTTGTAATGTATTTAATGAGTGTGGACCAATGATTACTAGCATTATAAGAACATTTTTACAGTTTAATACTTTGCTGATAATTATCCCCACATATATTCTTTCTAACAAACTGAGCGGCTTTTAAGACGTTCAGGATATATATTCTACTAAAGTTGTTGTAATGCATGTGGGAAGTAGATATTATACGCATGCGCAGTGAGAATTGTGTATTACGAAAATTCCTGACTTATAGCAGTTTCCAAAGATTCTGGAGGGGGGGATTCTGCAGAGGATATCTCAGTTTACTCAAAATTCCCCCAAATCATAAACGACAATATTAATAGAGTATACAAGGTGCATTTGAATTGTGTTAGAGTGTCCACTGCTTTAAGACCATACTTAGATTTTCCCTGGATATGTATTCACCATATTTAATAGGACTATTAAAAAAGGAATAATAAAAATCCAGTCATACGTATGAAAATTTTGAAACCGAACTAAGGGTTGCTAAGCCCACGTTAAAGTCGTTCTCAACGCCGTTGTTATGCTCGAAATTTCCATATTACAGAGTCATTAAAAAGTTATTAACCCGCCCACCCCGTGTGGATATATACAATATTTTTTTTACTTCACCCAGCGAGTTTCAGAAAGGAAAAAAATACTACAGAACAGACAGTTATCACAGATTATATGCAAGATAGTTAACCCTATTTGTACCGGGTTTTTTCATGTCGATATGACCGGGGGTGCGCTGATCGGGCGCACCCCTCCGAAATTCTGTCGATTAACTGCCATTATCCCATAAGTTTTATTTAGTAAGTTTATCTTTCTTTAACCTAAAAATAACAAAAAAGTGAAATCCACATCCAAAATGCTGTTTTTTGGCCCCATTGAATATGACCGCCCATCCAAAAATGGCGAATATAGGTAATATTTAACTCATTTTGGTTATATTTTGTAAAGAGGTAACAAAACACATTGGATGTGATATTTTTGGGGTCTTTTACATTCAAAAGACATACTTTTATGTTATAGCATATCTCAGATGTCCATAAAGACCATTATTTTACTTTCCAAGTTGCCATTTCTGGGCCATATGAAAAGACATACAACTGAAACTTACCTGTCTCTTATATAAACTATCCAAATCATTTTCAAGCTTCAACATCACCGATTTCACCTTCATATCGCTGTGAGAGTGTAATTGTTGTAATAATGTGTCGCAATTGTGCATTCTGTTGAAACTCTGGCACTTTTTGTTGGCATAACTTCTTTAGTGTAAACATAAAACGTTACACTGAAGTCGACCAACAAAAGTTTGTAGAAAAAAATACGAAATGGTGCAACCATGTTTTGCACCAATATACTATGTGTGACATGAAGTGTAAGGCAGGTGAGCTACGAGCTACGAGCCTGTAGAACAATTTTGAAAGCACAATATTTACTTTGAAACTCATGGCAATTAGTCTCAACTTTATGCAAAAGTTTTACTCTCAAATGGAAAATTTCTTGTGCAAAAGTGTTCAATATATAATGCATCCTACATGTTTGGTGCTTGCTGAAAGACAGGGAGATATTATGCCTTGAAGGTACAAAGAAATATGTGTATTTGAATATATAAAAATATTATAAATAAGTATTTTATGTTATATATATTGTATTGTTAGTATGCTATATTTATATGTTATACTATATTTTACTATTTTATATAATATATTTTGGATATTTTACTTTGCAAATTATGAGTAATAATCCATCTTTATATAGAAATATTTCCCACGAAATATGGGTTTTTATGTCACACCTGAACTAATTAGATAAGTGAGTAACAATTTAATTATATTTAATGTTAATCCCTGGCGCGCCTGTTGTAGAGGGAGGAAATTTAGAGCACTTGAAACTACGTCACAGCTGGGCCAAGATCAAGTTCGATCTCTTGGTATTAAACCAAGATAACTTAGATATTTTGCAAGTCTCCAATATCAGTGGTCAAGTGAAGAAATCAGAATTTACCCACCTCCTCCCGCAGGCCTGCCAGCAATATCATAAACGTTTATTTTGTACCTGATTGTATATATAATTATATATATGAACTTTTTAACGCGTATATTCCTGCCACCTTTACTGGCTATAGAACACTTATATAATCAATCTAGACTTCAGTAGTATTTTGATGTCAGAGAATATGTTATTTCATTAAATATTTTCAATAAAGCGGCTATGAACTATATTCATAGGCAAAATGTTTCCCATAAAAGTGTCGTCTAAAATTTTGTGCCTGTATGCCAGTAAACCAAGCTCGGTTAATGCAACGCTGTTTGATCCTCATAAACTCGAAAGGGAAGGTGGATACATAAATGTTCTCTAATTATATTATGTTGTTTATGTCCTGGGAAGTGATTCAACCAAAAATACTGTCCAACACACATTTTCCCATTTTTGGCCCCGACACCTTGTTCGACAAATGGCGGCAAATGTCCCGATAACTTTGAATTTTCAGAAAAAAATTTTCGCAGTCATGACGGCAGAGGAAAAATGTTAAAAGTCATGAAAGCACAGGGAAATGGAATCATTCGTTCAGGAATGACCGATACATATTTATAGGGGTGCGCTCATTATGCGCACGGTACAAATAGGGTTAATTAATAGTTTAATAGTAATTCCAAAACTTGCAGCTATGCAGCTGAATTATGATGGATAAAAAATTACAATTTCAATATAAATTAATATACAATTACTTTATGGTTTCCGTGTTTGGATGGCCTGATCCAAACACGCGGGAATGTTGCGAGAGTTAAGAAAAGCGAGCGAAATCACGAGCCGAAGGCGAGTGATTTTGCCCGCTTTTCTTAACTCGAGCAACATTCCCAAGTGTTCGGATCAGTCCATCCAAACACGGAAACCATAAAGTAATTGTTTTATAAAATAACAACAACACGGTAGTCTTCCGTGTTTGGATGGCCTGATCCAAACACGGCTTTCGACCAATCAGAATACGCGTTATATACATGTTATTTTATAAATATATATACAACTAAGCTAATATTAAGATTAAACTACGAATTACGACTATAGCATTAGGAATAAACCTAAGAGGTTCACACAAGTGTTTTATCGAGCTCCATAATTTCTGCTATTCTTTTTGCTTATTACTATAATGAATGGCTTCCTTAAAGGTTGTGAATGTTTTATATGGTTATTTTAACACTAAAAACAACAAATTGAAATGGACCGGATCATTAGAAGACTCGAAAGCATTCGTCCACACTGAAATCGACGAGGAAACAGCGACAACACTACATGGCGATCGCCGGGAGGTGGGAGATGGAATTTCGAAAGCAAGCAGCTAGCTGTTACTTGGCTGACGAAAAGCGAGAATATACTCTTTGGAGGAGAGAAGGAAAACGACTTAACAGATCGAGTGTATACTTTCTTAAGGCGGAATGAAATCAACGCCCAGAACGATAACACTGCTAATCTAAAAAGATCCGTAGAATGTCTATTAACTGAGGAGAGCGAAGAAGAGAGCAAAGACAGTCCTGAATAATCGCTTGACAGAATAAAGACTTTATCAAAAGAAGCTCAGGGCATAGCGAATCGAGGAAGCGATATTGCATCGGGTGCGGCATACCAACATGAAAAATGTCGTATGAAAAGTCGCAGAATTTGCATAACTCATCATCCGGTAAGTCATTACAAAGTTCTCAAGACAATGACTTAATGAAAATAATAGAAGCAATTAGCGATAAAGTAGAGAATCTTGCAACCGAAGTGAGACAGATAAAGGCCATTAACTCGCAATCAAACGATCAAGGTTTAATTAATTACTTAAGAGAAGAAAATCGAAAGTTAAGTCGCAAAATGAACAGCTACAAGAAAGAAATACAGATATATCGTGTCCCATGACAGATCTCCATATGAAACTTTAAGACTTGGTATATGAAGGAGATTGTCTAGTTACAACACTCGAGCTTTTACACCTTGACTGAAAGGATAGCGAAAAGCAACCCAAACCTCTGGATGGCGTTAGGTAAAATCAAATGGCCCAGCTAAGACATCAGACAATTATTCGCCTGTTATAACATCCAACCGATATGAAATTCTCGAGGAAGAATCGAAAAACGAGAGTTACGTTATTAATGATGATCAAGTAATTCATACTGAAGATGTAGATTTGCGAACGAAAAGTTTCTGGTAATTGGACATTCCCACCCTCATCATTAATGACAGTTGGGTTGAGATCACCAATATCATTATTTAAATCACTTACTGGATTTGGGGGAACTACATGATTCTCGTTTTCATTTGTCAGTTGGGGATCTGATGGACAAGATGGTAAGCTAACAATCATTTCATCCTCAATATTTAATTGAGGGCTTTCTTCTGTATTCTTGTCATTTACAAAATTTATCAGTGAAACGAACACAACGGATTCTCTTAATTGATCCTGTTTCTGGAAAATATATAAGGTAGGCTGGGCTTCCCTTATCATACCCTACGAAAATTCCTTTTTCCCCTCTTGAGTCCAATTTCTTCTTCTCCTGCACATACGTGTAGCACGCTGTGCCAAAAACATGCATATTTTGCAAATTGGGTTTTTGACAGGTAAATACTTCATAAGGTGTTTTTCTTAAGTCTATGGTTGTAACAACAATTTCGTATGTACACTGCAGCCATAACTGCATACGTCCAGAGTGTTTTAGGTAATTTGGCCTCAATAAGTAGGCATCTAGCCATATCAAAAATAGATCTACAGACTCTTTCAACTGTGCCGTTTTGATGTGGCGAATAAGGGGCTGACTTTTCATGTTTTATGCAGTGTTTGATCAAAAGATTTTCAAAGGCTTCCGAGGTAAACTCGGTTCCGTTGTCACTTCTTATACATTTAATCTTACCGTATGGACTTGAGTCAGCTAAGAATGTTTCAGTAGCCTTCAGGGTGTCACTCTTGTGCCGTCTAAAGTAAGTCATGACTATACCTGAATAATCATCAACAAAGGCAAGGGCATATCTAAAACCTTCTTTAGCAATGGGGTCAACTGGTCCCGCTAGGTCACAATGTACTAATTCTAGTATCTTTGTTGCACGTCTATCGGGTTTTCTATTTCTGGGTTGGGTCATTTTCCCCATAACACATACCCCACAGTCAAATTCTTTCTTACCTGTTATTTTCATCCTAGTCGTAACCGGGCAAAGCCAAAGTATTTAGGGCAATATGTTGATGGTGATGAAGTCGATGAAAACAATCACATCAATTTCACAGTTGATTACTGCTGTAATGTATCAGATGTACCGAAAACGTACCAGGAGGCGATATCCTCGCTCCATTTTCATGAATGGCAAAAGGCCATGGAGGATGAAATGTATGCATTAAGGGAAAATGACACATTTGAACTTACCACAAAGCCTGAAAATAGAAATACAGCGGGGGGAAGATGGGTTTCTGCCATTAAAACTGGCCCGAATGGGGAAGAAAAGTACAAAGCCCGCTTTGTAGCCAAGGGATATTCGCAAATACCAGGTGTTGATTATCATGAAACCTTCTCACCCACTGCAAGAATGACATCTATTAGGATCCTAATGCAATTAGCGATGCAATACAATCTGACAATACATCAAATGGATGTAAAAACAGCATATCTGAATGCACCAATTGACTGTGAGTTATATGTTGAACAACCTGAAGGTTTTACTATGACAGGAAAAGATGGCGAGTATCTTGTTTACAAACTTAGAAAATCTTTATACGGACTGAAGCAAAGTGGTCGAAATTGGAATAGTGTGCTACATTCCCATTTAGTTAGTGAGGGCTTTATTCAGTCACAATCAGATAGTTGTGTTTACACCAAAATTTCAGGTAAGTCGATGACCATTGTGATAATTTGGGTGGATGATATAATTATTGCATCAAATTGCACAGTTACGCTAACGAATGTGAAAGGTAATCTAAGTAAGAGATTTCAAATGAAAGATATGGGAAAATTATCATGGTTTTAAGGCATAGAATTTATATGTGAAGAGGGAGTAATTAAGATGAACCAAACAAAATACATTGAAAGGCTATTGTCGAAATTCAGTATGGAAAATTGCAAAGGCAGATCCACTCCATGTGAGATTAACTCAAATAAGGTAAGTGAGGAAAATTCAGTGCCAACTGACAACAGATTGTACAGAGAGATCATAGGCAGTCTTGTTTACATAATGACTGCAACTAGGCCAGATCTTTGTTATAGTGTAACAAAACTCTCACAATATTTGTCAGCACCAACCATGAGTCACATAAACACTGCAAAGCATGTATTGAGATATCTCAAGGGCACAGCTAACAGAAGTCTAATCTTCAGGAAAGCTGATGAGCCACTGCACTTAGTTGGTAGTTGTGATGCTGATTGGGGTGCGTCAGAAGATAGACGCAGTATAACCGGGTACGGTTTCCACCTTTGTAGCAAAGGTCCTTTGATTTCCTGGAAGAGTAGAAAGCAACCTACAGTTGCTTTAAACACATGTGAAGCTGAATATATGTCTTTAGCTTCAGCTGTTCAGGAAGGTAAGTTTCTTTCTCAGCTGTTGAAGGATATGGTTAAAATTAAGTTTACTCCAGTGACACTTCACTGTGACAATCAGGGAGCTTTAGCATTGGCCAAAAACCCTGTTCAGCACCAAAGATCAAAACTATTGATATACGTTATCACTTCGTAAGATCGGAAGTTCAGAGAGGTCTCCTTTATTTATTGTATGTAACATCACAAGATAACTTAGCTGATATATTTACCAAACCAATATCAGGACCAAGAATAAAAACTTTTGTTCCTATTATACTAGGAGTATCAACTCGATTTAGTGTAATGTTGTTGATATTTGTACTATATATATAAAACTAACTGTTCTATGTTTAAGTGGGGGTGTTAGTGAATAAACATTCATCCAGACAAACTTATATAGAGAGATCAGTGATGAACAGGTCATGTGACCCCCAACCACGTTGTTGTACCTTACTTCTGTAAAGCAAAGTATTAAAAGAGAAACTGTAACTCGTCTTATTGTTTATTTATATTCCACTGTCATAACTAATAACGTAACAGCCGACGTACTCGAAATCAAATTATTCAGCTTTTATTACATGGGAACTGTATAGTTTCTGTTCTTCCAACTGGGTGTCAGTAAATATCGTTCGTTCGCTAAACAAAATTAACAGCCAAAATTATTATAGTATTACGACAGATGTTCCCCAGCTGGATAGGCTTGCTTAAGAGGACACGGAAAGTGTTTTGAACAGGGGATGTTAAACTTGGTTTTACCCTTCCAAAGACTCTGCTGTGCGACGATTGGAGCGAGTTTATGAGGAATATTTTATACAGTGATTCAAAGAAGTGTACTGTATATGTTATTGATCTATTGTTGAATGCCACTTACGCACCTATCAATGTTAACCCCACCTATGCCCGAACCCCCCCCCCCCCCCCCC